TCCAATGTATTCAGCCCCACTATGAAACTAATTTATAGTTTTCATACAAAAGGTATAACCCAATTATAGCCCAAGAATATGGGGAAAGGGGAGGGAGGGGAGGATGGGTGTAGGGAGGGTGATTGGTGGGATCACACCTATGGTTCATCTTATAAGGGTACATGTGAATTTTTCTAAATGTAGAATATAAATGTCTTAACACAATAACTAAGAAAATGACATGAAGGCTTTATTAACCAGTTGATGAAAATATTTCAAATTGTATATAAACACAGCAGACTGTACCCCATGACTGTATTAATATACACAGCTATGATTTAATAAAATAAATAAATAAATAAATAAATAAAACAGTATGGTATTGGCAGAAAAACAGAGAGATAGATGTATGGAACAGAATAGAGAACCAAGAGATGAACCCAGCTACTTACCGTTATTTGATCTTTGACAAGTCAATTAAAAACATTCAGTGGGGAAAAGATTCCCTACTTAACAAATGGTACTGGGCGAACTGGCTGGTGACATGTAGAAGACTGAAACTAGACCCACACCTTTCACCATTAACGAAGATAGAATCTCACTGGATTAAAGATTTAAACTTAAGACATGAAACTATAAAAATATGAGAAGAAAGTGCAGGGGAAACTCTTGAAGAAATCTGCCTGGGCCAATATTTTGTGAGGAGGATCCCCCAGGCAATTGAAGCAGCATCAAAAATACACTACTGGGACCTGATCAAACTAAAAAACTTCAGCACAGCCAAGAACACAGTAAGTAAAGCATGCAGACAGCCCTCAGAATGGGAGAAGATATTTGCAGGTTATGTCTCTGACAAAGGTTTAATAACCAGAATCCACAGAGAACTCAAACTTATTAGCAAGAATAGAACAAGTGATCCCATCTCAGGTTGGGCAAGGGACTTGAAGAGAAACTCCTCTGAAGAAGACAGGTACATGCCATACTGCAGACACATGAAAAAATGCTCATCATCCTTAATTATCAGAGAAATGCAAATCAAAACTACTTTGTGATATCATCTATCTCCAGTAAGACTAGCTCATATCACAAAATCCCAAAACCAGAGATGCTGGTGTGGATGTGGAGAAAAGGGGACACTTCTACACTGCTGGTGGGAATGCAAACTAAAACATTCCTTTTGGAAAGATGTTTGGAGAACACTTAGAGAATAGACCTGACATTTGATCCTATAATTCTTCTACTAGGTATGTATCCAGAAGACCAAAAATCACACTATAACAAAGATATTTGTACCAGAATGTTTATTGCAGCCCAATTCATAATTTCAAAGTCATAGAAGAAGCCCAAGTGCCTATTGACCCACGAATGGATCAATAAATTGTGGTATATGTACACCATGGAATATTATACAGCCTTAAAGAAAGATGGAGACTTTACCTCCTTCATGTTTACATGGATGGAACTCGAACATATTCTTCTTAGGAAAGTATATCAAGAATGGAAGAAAATGTATCCAATGAATTCATAGCTTTCATATGAAAGCTATAACCCAATTATAGCCCAAGAGTATAGGGAAAGGGAGGAGAGGGGAGGGGGGGATGGGTGGAGGGAGGGTAATTGGTGGGACCACACCTATGGTGCATCTTACAAGGGTACATGTGAAACTTACTAAATGTAGAATATAAATGTCTTATTAACACAATAACTAAGAAAATGCCATGAAGGCTATTTTAACCAGTTTTACGAAAATATTTCAAATAGTATATAAAACCAGCATATTGTACCCCATGACTGCATTAATGTACACAGCTACGATCTAATAAAAAAAATTAAAAGAAATATAGCCATTCCTGCTTTCTTTTGATTAACGTTTGCATGGTTTATCAGTCTCCATCCTTTTACTTTCAGCTTACCTATATCCTTTATATTTGAAGTGAATTCTTTGTAGATAGTATACATGGCTTATGTTTTGTATCTAGCCTGCCAATCTCTACATTTTAATTTGGTATAGTCAGACCTCTAACATTTATGTAATTATTGGTATATTTTGGATTAAGTGTACCAATTTATTTTTGTTTCTCTTAGTTTTCTCTGCTGTTCATTTGTATGCTTTTTCATTCTTCCCTTGTTATGATTACTTCAACTAATTTTTGAATCACATTTTGATTTATTTATAGTTTTTCAGTATATTTCTCTGTGTATTGTTTTTGGTGCATTCTAGGTATTAAATAATATGCATATAACATATTACAGTCTACTGGTTTTGACTTTTTTTTTTTTTTTTGCAGTTTTTGGCCGGGGCTGGGTTTGAACCTGCCACCTCTTGCATATGGAGCCAGTGCCCCACTCCTTTGAGACACAGGCACCGGCCTGGTGCTGACATTTTATCAGTTCAACTGTAGAAACCAGACCTATGCTATGTCCGTTTACCCTCCTCCATTTATAATTGTCTTTAAATATTTTCACTACATACATTAAGAACCATAGTAAACAATGTTATAATTTTTGGTTCAATGTGAAATATTAATATCATCTTGAAAACTCAAGGCAAGCCTATCATATTTAGTTGTACTTTTGTTCTTCCCATTGTTTATTCTTCCCTCCTAATGTTCCAAGATTCCTTCTTTTATCATTCTCTTTCTGCATACAGAACTATCTTTAGACATTCTTTAGGGTAGGGCTGCTTATGAAAAGTTATTCTGGTTTTTCTTCACCTGAAAAGGTCTTGATTTTCCCTTCATTACAGAATATTTTTGTTTGATATAGAATTCTGAGTTGATAATTCTTCTCTATTAGCACTTGAAAAATTCATGCTACTTTCTTGTGAACTCCATGGATTTTGATGAAACATTAGCTATTATTTGTGTTATTTTTTCCCATATAGGTAAAGAATTATTTCTGTCTAGATGCTTTCAATAATTTTTCTTTGCCATTACATTTGGAAAATTTGATCATGATGTATCTTGGCATGGATTTCTTTGGGTTTACAATTTACTCAGTTTCTTGAATCTGTAAGTGTATATTTTTTGTCAAATTTGGGGATATTTCAGCCATTATTTTTTAGAATACTTTTGCAGCTCTACCCTCATTCTCCTTGCCTTCTGAGATTCTGACGACACAAATATTACGTCTTTTGTTATAGACTCTGGTCTCTGTTCATTTTTTCTTTTTTGTCTATTTTCTCTCTGTTATTCAGACTGGGTAATTTCTATTTTTCTGTCTTTAAGTTCACTGATTTTTTTCCTCTATAGTCTTCATTATGCCATTTAATTCATCTACTGAGAATTTTCTTATGATTATTATATTTTTAGTTCTTTTTTTTTTTTTTGAGACAGAGCCTCAAGCTATGCCCCTGGGTAGAGTGCTGTGGCATCACAGCTCACAGAAACCTCCAACTTTTGGGCTCAAGCAAGTCTCCTGCCTCAGCCTCCCAAGTAGCTGGGACCACAGGTACCCGCCACAATGCCTGATTATTTTTTGGTTGCAGCCATCATTGTTGTTTGGAGGGCCCGGGCTGAATTAGAAGTATTTTTTGGTTGCTGCCGTCATTGTTGTTTGGCGGGTCTGGGCTGGCTTCGAACCTGCCACCTTAGGTGTATGTGGCTGGTGCCTTAGCCACTTGAGCCACAGGTGCTGAGCCATATTTTTAGTTCTTAATTTCCATTTGGTTTTTCTTTATATCTTCTATTCCTTTGCTGAGATTTTCTATTTTTAATTGTTTTAGGTGTTTGCAATTGTTTCTCAGAGCATTTTTATGATGGCTGTTTTGAAAATCTTGTCAGATAACTCAAACTTCTGCCATTTTGGTGCTCACTTTATTTTCTTAGTCAATTTAAAATTTAAATGTGAAATCTTTCTGGATCTTGGTATAATAAAAGATTTTCAATTAAAAGTTAGATATTTGGGATCTTATTTAAATTTTGTGTTTTAGCAGAGCTTTTCTGATATTACTCCAGGAGGTGAAGGGGGATACTCTCATTATTGCTTTACAATGGAAGTCTTGATTCCACATTTGACCTTGTTTGATACCTCCCCAGCAGGAGTAAGGAGGACACTTCATTATAGTCTGGTAAGGGTAGAAGTCTAGGTTCTTCATTTGGTCTTTGCTGGAAGATGTGGGGTAGAACACAGGTTCTTTATGGTCTTTGCTAGAGTACAGCAGTTATTATCTAAATATTTTCTGTGTTGCTAGCTTGCTCCACTTTGGTGCTTTGGCCAGAGAAAGCAGGGTTTTTTTAGGGGGGAAGGCTCTTATTGGTCTGTTGCTGTTGGCATTTCTGGGTTGGTCTCATACTGAGTCTGGGATATGTGAGGCAAAAGAAAACCCAGGAAACTCACCATTCTATCACTACATCATTCTTTGGGTCACAAGATCCTCAGTACGTCTGCCTTCTAGTGTGCCTTGCATTATCTAATATGTACATCCTAGGCTTTTAGTTGCACTTAGCAGGAAGAATAGAAAGGAATGGGAGGGATAGGAGGAATAGTACATCTAATCTACTCCATCTTTCCAGAGACAGAAATCTAGAGTATTCCTTTGAACATACCGTGACCACATAACTCCACATCTTAAAACACCTCAATGGCTTCAACTACCTACAGGATCAAATCCTAAAACAAAAACTTCATGGAGGAGGAGAGACTATGACAGATACACCTTTACATTCCTAAAGCCTAGTATAGTTCTTATAAATAATGGTTACTCTGAATACTTTATAACTGCATAACGGGGGCTTAAGTTAATATTTTTCCCATACCAGTATGTATGCCTTTTCTTTTCTTTCTTTCTTT